ATATTTAAATATATATAGAAAAAAATATTCCTTCTTTTATTGTTCTTACGGATTTTAGCCTTCGAAGATATAATTTTATCATGAACAGTGATACTATTGTCACATAACATTACTATTTGTATATGGTGGACAATGTTTCTTATTTCTACATCTCTAACTCAAATGAATGTCATTCGTTTAAATGTTTAGTCAATGAGATAATGGCACTCATTAGCAGATTCTGTTCTTTATCTCTTGGTACATTTTAAAATTTACTTTTCTTCTGTCTCCTCTGATTTTCGTTTCTTGTCTAACTTGTTCATTTTTTTCTGATAATGTAAAGTAAAACCAGATCTTAGCAAAGGGAACAAACGAATAGTCAAACCTAAAAGAAATGATGATTACCCTTGTTAATAAATGTTTCAATGGAATGATTATCCTTCTCACACCATCGTGGTTATGGTAGGAAAGACGTGACTTGGACTTCCATCCGGACACCCATTATGTACATCACAGGTAGAGACTCCTCACTTCTGCAAAGGATTTGGCTCTGGTGGGCGTACGTTCCTTGAGCCAGCTACAAAGGGGACTCTAAGAATCTGGAGAAACTTGTAGGCAGTGAATTCTTAGACTGAGAGATGTAATGTTAACGCTTTGGAAAGGGGTCGTATGGTATTATCCATCAACTACTACCTTACCCACACAAACGCAGCCACATATAGTTCTCGTGAAAATTCATATACATGATATTGCGCTGTATCAGAAAGTTACAAGACAGTGTGTGTTGTACTTTTACTTCAGCCCGTCTGCAAGTGACATAAGAAGGAAATACAAACCCTGGATAAGATGGGAGAACAGTAGGAAACTTTACACAAGAGTATGGGGATGGAAGCTCCTTGCAAGCCACGGGGTAAGTAACCCAAACTATCAGACGAAACCATATGAAGTTAAAGAATGCGTCCTCAGATAGTGTGTAAGGTTACATATGAGGCGGAGAGACACCCGAGGAGGCACAGAGTAATTAGCTAATGCACCTTATGAGAAACAGCGAGTAGGAAGTGGGGCTGTTACTGAACAAGAACCTGAAGGCATGGAGAATGCACGTGACGGATAGAAGAGAAAACAGCAAAGGAAAGTACCGTATTATGGAAAAAAAATATATAAACATAAATCAAATACAAACAACAAAGTCATCTGGAGGAAGAGAAACACAAAGAAGGGTGTCATCACCCCTGTACAACACCTTTTATGTTACTAATGACATACCCATTTACCTTAGTAGATAAGTGGGCGATTCATAAAAAGGAGACTAAGTCACAAAGACACTTCCCAAAACAGGAAAACTCGTAAAGAGTATGAGACAAAATTGCAACAGAAATGGCGGCCAAATGATAAGTGTAGACATAAACAAGATTAAGTCGTGGTCTGTTATTGATTATAACCCTTAATGGGAGGAGTAATTCACTACTAAAAAAAGCTTTCCTCAGAGGGGCATACATTGATAAGAATAACTGGAACACAATCAGAATCTACGGAAATGTGATCCAGTTTCAAATACGAGGGTATCTTTGCAAGTAAATTATGAATAAAAGATCAACCTGAAAAGAAATGGAATAGAAGTTACAAGGGGCATAATAATATATACACGTCTTTTCATTTCCAGATCAGATGGCAGTGTCACAGAAGAGACAGAAATGGCAAAGCCCGTGCCTAGTGAGATGACCTAACCTGACTGCTCGTCTGAAAACCTTGTCTGAATACCGACTGCAACTTGCCGTCGGTTTCTCCATCCAAAGCAATGCCATTTCAGTATGCTGTTGTGTCTTTGTGTATATGTATGTATGTGTGTGTGCATGTATGTAAGTATGCGTAAGTATACATGTGTGTCTTTACGTCAGAAGATATAGAGTGCCAATGCTCGAATGATTTTGTACTTTTTGATTTTTTTTGTAAATAGTAATAAATAAAGTTTTTACATGACAGGCTTTTTTTTAGGAAACCCATTTATTTTTACTATAGTATTACAAAATAATGAACTTTCCGTAAGATCATTTATATATACATCTTATTGTGTATTATTGTGTAATTTAGTGTCGTATGGAAAGACAGAATATGTCTCTTGTCTCTCAGCTTATGAGAACACTAATGAAATATATAAAACTTTAATAAACTGGATTACGTGATATATTTTGGATGCTAGATAAAAAAACGGGGAAATATTTAACTATATATTAGTAATATGGATGCTATTAAAGATGCAGAAGGCTTAAGAAGTACAGATACACACACACACGCTAAAATAAAGCCTATTGTACAGTAATGAGAGGAAAGTCAAGTTTTTTTTTTAAGCTGTAAAAGGTCTTAGAGAAACTTTGACAAACGCTAACTCAGAGGGACTTTAATTATGAAGAGAGATTGAAGGAAATAACTGAAGATAACAGCACGACTGCTTTTTCCTTCATTCTATTCATTCATTTACTTATTTATTCATTACTTCGTCTTCTAGGATTTCCACCAAAGA